TAGCTTGCACCGGTACAAATAAATGGTGCTTTACAATTTGCCAGCCTGGAGTTTTTGGTATTTTGGTGAACTTGGGCTGGCTTCTTTCCAGCTAAATAGAAGTTGAAATTCTACCAAAATAATAATAATAATAATAATAAGTTGAAAATTTGATAATTAGGATTCTGAAAGAGTTATAGATATATTTTGGATTTTGTTGAGTGCAGTGTTTAGTACTTTAGCTTTATACTTCAGAATTATTTTTATTAAGCAATTTATGTGGCCATTGCCTTTTTTTTTTTTTTTAAAGCAATTTAGGTGGGATTCTAGATTGGATTTATGCTTTCTTTTGTATCTATGATGCTTGTTTGAATGGAGAATGAAATGAAAATATTTTTCTTTCAATATTTGTTTGTAATGAATTGTATAAAATCTGAAATCGTATGAAATTGTATGAATTTGAAATCGTTATTGAATTAGTGAATACTGCATGGTCTGCAGTATTAGAGTTTGAGTTAAAAAAAAAAGGTGAATTAGATATTGACTGTGTGGTACGAGTATAGTAATTAGTAATTGCCTTAAATCACCGCATTAAACGGCCAACAAACGTCAATCAATCCTCCTCAAATATTACAGCAATGATGATAGAAATCTATTATCGCAGCTTTGCGGTTGCCATGAAAAACGATGGTAGTCAACCGCACCGACCGTTTGCCCAGCCCGTCACGTAAAGTAATGGACAAGATTTGACAAGTATGAATTATGCGAGTAAGAAATTGAATGGTAAAAATTAAAAGGAAAGTGATCACGTATCTTCTCTTTTCCCCTTTAGAGCAATGCTAGCTGCACTCGCTTTCTGCACTCTCCTTCCAACACTGCCCCTTTCATTGGGTCACGTTGTTTTAGTCGGTAAGAGGTTGTACTTCAAAGTTAAAACAACCTTACGTGGCAGTGTTAAACATATAAAATGCATTTCATTAACATTCCTCACCTTGTATGCACTTCAAGATTAATTTATTTTTATGTGATCTTAAAATATACTTCACATTAGTGTAGTACATTTAATAAAATTAATTTTTTTATAAAATTAAATTTATTTATAAATTTTTGTAAGCATTCACTATATTTATTATTATAATAATTATATATAAAAAAAGAGACAAATTCATTCTTTATAATAAGACAATCTCTCTTTATTTTTTATCAAATTGTTGTTTTAAAGATATAAAAATAGTATAATTTT